AAGTGGTGTACATGGTATTTCTTACAAGTTTATATTTAGAAGCATTTTTAAAATGAACATATTGGCTGACTCTTAAGTACTTGGGGCACCACTAGATCCCCTGGTTGTCTTATCCCGGCTACAAACACTCAGAGCCCCTTTGGTAAGAGACTTGATAGGGGACAGCAGAGTCAAGGCCAGGACTCAGGCCTCCTAACTCCTAATACGGACAGTCAGCAGGACACACTGCTTTTTCCTGGCTGTCAGGGGATTCATCTAAAACAGGAATATCTCTTAGAGGGGCTGCACCGCCTTGCACACGGTAGATAAGCCGTAAACATTCAACTGAATAATTCAGAGCTGGATATTTGCTAGTCTGGGGACGTTGCCCTAGGAAAGTGTTTTGTGCTGCTGCTGTTGTTGTTGTTGTTGTTGTTTTTCCCCTCCAGACATCTCTGAGATATCTCACAGGTTAGAATTATGGAATGATTATGAAAACCATACTGAATCTCAAATAGACATTCATAAAGAAAACCACTGTTGACTCTTCCCCCGTCCTGTTTCTGCGAAGGCTAACTGTGGGCAGTGTTTGACCGTCTTGAGAAAGGCAGGTATGTGCGTAGCTCCTTTTCTGCATTTACTCACTAGGTGCTGAGGTTTGCTGTGCTCTTCTTTCCCATGGGTCTTTGCAGCGTCGCGCACACTAAGTTACAGGAAACGTCTGGCAGCAATTTGCCTCTCCCTCCATCCCATCTAACTCTGAGATAAAACATCTCTGGAAATCTTACTTAGGATGAGTGTCTGACATCCAAAGGAACAAAGGCCCCACCAGGAGCTGGTTGGCTTTGCCGGTTACAGTCTGTCAGAACAAGCAGGTAAAAGCCACCACGGCCATGTTTACGGTTTTCCCACCTGTCAAAACAGTCAGCCCAAAATATGCTTCACAAGCAAGTGAGAGGGTAGGAGACATGCCCTCAGATCAGTGAAAATGGATTCGGAACAACACTGGCCCTGTGTTTCTCTAGCCCTTAGCTGTGACCGGCCTTCACCGCTGGGACAGCTAAACCGTAATGACAACCTCCCTGTGTGTCTCAGCTTTCTAACTCAGCCCCTGATTGAGATCTAGCCCTTTGAAAACCTACGTTCCATATGTGGAAACACACTAATTGAAAATAATTGTCTCCCCAGGGACCTGGCTGGCTCAGTCGGTGGAGCGTGTGACTCTTGATCTTGGGGTCGTGAGCTTGAGCCCCATGTTGGGGGTAGAGATTACTTAAAATTAAAAAAAAAAAAGATTTAAAAAAAAAGAAGAAAATGATAAAAAAAAAAAACCCAAAAAAACAAATTCTCACCAGCCTCTGACTCCCAGAAGAGAGTCCATTTTAAAATAGAACAGTTTCAGTTTTGTGCTTTCTACCTTTATTACATTTTTGCGTTTTGAGATACAAACCAACCACTCTCTTATACCACACAAAAAACATTCATTCTTGTGATTTTAAAGTGCATTTCCCTTTAAACGCTGCGTACAAAAATATTTATTTATTTTTTAAACATGCAGACATTTCTTGACAAGGCACTTGGAGGCATCGGGTGCAGACGAGCCTTCGGTTCTCCATTCACACTGAAGTAAAAGTGAAACACCGTCCTCACAGCTGCCTTCTTGGGAGTCCTCCCAGGTCCAGCAGGCTCTAGGAACTGAGCACTGATACTGCCAAAAACATTCCCGGCTTTCCAACCATACCGAGGAAAAGCCGCCCCAAACCACAGACACCCTTCCCGGTCCCACGTGTCCACTTTGGGAGGCGCAGAGAAGCCACCAGAATGTCTTCGAGACCCGGTAAGATCATATTAGGCTTATGACTCTTCCTCCCCGGTTTCAGTGATTGGGACCCCCCCAGAGCAGAGGGCCACAGGGCCTGCTCTGGCAAACTGCACCCAGAGGAAGAATTTTCGAAGAGGAAACAAATGAAAAACAATCAAGATTTTCATTCACTGTGCACTGAGGCGGAAGACCTGGAAAACGGGCCCTTCTAAAAAATGAGCCGACTCTTTTTTGGTTTCTAAACATATCTATAACCCATTGAACATCCAAGTGACTACACATAATGCTTGTTTTTAAAAAGCAAATTATACACAAAGATCAAAACCACAAAACATTTTTCAGCCGTTTGAAATTTACATCTTTAAAAAACACTGAAAGAGTAATGTTTTCCACCATTAAAATGAAACCTTAGAGAAAAAATAAATTCTACCTTGACTCTGAAATTGCTTTAATTTCTGGAGAACTACAGAACTCCCATTATTTCTCACCACTTCCCCTTTCATCAGAATACTTCCAAAAATAAAAAGGAACCCATTCAAATGCTTCCTATCTTCCAAGAAACACTGAAAGCTTATTTATTATGTATCTTTCTATAGTCCAGCTTATTTATTGCACCTAATTTGCGAATGCTCCCCAGGGCATTTGGGGGAAATAAATATGAAACAAAATGGAGCTGCTTCCCCATTTCTGGACAAGGGCACTAGTGGTGGGAAGCCCGTCCTTCGGGGGGCAACTTGGAAAGGACACTGGGGCTGGGGGACATTCGTCACCATCACCAACAGCTGTGTGAGGGGCAAACCCCCAAGTCAGGTTACAGTGACGTCTCTCTCCAACTAAGAAACCTGTCACTGTCTGAAGTGTGTAGACCTACTTACTGATGGTGAGCTCCGAAATAAGGAGGGGTTCTGCAGATCCTGGGACCATCTGTTGATATCCTGGAACAGAACTGGGCCCAAGGGAGAGAGACTGGTGAATAAAAGACGGTATTCTTCAGATGCCCCTGCCTCCCTGAATGATGAGGCTGACAGGGAAGCCTCGCAACCACATTCTCTAGTCAGAGAAGGGTCTTTGAGGCAGGTGACGACTTGCCTGGTAGGGCGAGCATCCCAGGTGCACCGGCGGGGGATTTGCAACCAGTGCCCCCAGCAAAAAAGCTGGGGTGAGCTGGGAGTAAAGAATGGGGGAGGGGAGGGCTTATAGCTGTTTTTAAGAGCTACTTATTGCTGAATTACCATATTTCAAATTTTGACACGGGAATGTCTTAAGATCACCATTACTGAAAACCAAACAGGAGTCTCTTGAGGCATTTTTCTTTTGAATACAGAATGATCTTGTTACTTGCAGTCTGGTAACACATAAATGACAGTGCACCTGGTACCTTTCTTGACTTGGAGGAGGAGGGACTGGACTTCTCAAAACAAAATAAATTCATGACCTATATAAAATGGTTTGCTTCCATTCGGTTTTGATTTGCACTATCGATAGTTCTGACCATATTTGTTAACACTGAAAGTACCGTTTGTGTATCTGATGTAGATATGTCTCGATGAAACACAATTCTGCCCAATTTCAGCATAAGATAAAAATGCGATTTTCCCATAAATTATATTATGGGATCCCCGAGTCCTACCCATCTGGGAGAGGCATAAAAAATAAAGCACTAGATCACAGACGAGTTAACAGCCAGTTTTAGGAACAAGAATTACATCAAACATCACTTAAGAACATTTAAAAAGTCAAAACATGGTAAAGTTAAAAAAAGAAGGGGAACAAAAAACCAACCACAAAACTCTAGGAGCCAAGACACTCCATTCCTGCCTGACACTAACTGACAAAGCCGCAGAAGCCAGGAGGCCTTTTCCAATTGATCTGGAATATGCAAGCAAAAGATGACTCTCTGCTTGCGGAGTCCAGTGGCTGGGCCTCCAAATCCAGGCAGCTGTGGATCCCTCTTCCTGCCTCGCTTAGGAAAATCTCACTTTACTAAAATCAGGCAAATGGAAAACGAGACAGTCATTTAATTAAGCTCCAAAAGCAAAACAGGAAAAACAAAACAAAACAAAACAAAACCCCAACCTTCTCCCAATACATATGTAAAAATATTTTTTAAACACCCCCAAGTACAAACCAATCTCACCCCAGAAGAATTACAGGGTTTGGGGATCCATCTGTCAGTGAATGTCCCAGGAGTCTCATGACAGTATGAACCAAGAGACTTTTAATTCATGGTCCAATATGGGTAAGAACAATTCTTCTCCGATATTTCAGAGTTGTCACACTTTGAAAATAAAATATGAAAACTTGGTGAGGGTTTTCTCCCCCATCCCTTTTATATATACTCACACACCATAAATAAGAACACCCAAATCAAAGTCCCTGGGTGCTTGCAAAGAGTCCTGGACAGCGCAGATCATAGTCAAAGTCAAACCAAACATCTACCGAAGGCTTTGAGGATCCATTGGATCTGCAAATCAAGATGTCCTGGACACAGCATGGAGGAGGGCTCTCTGGGAAAGGAGAGTCTAAAGTCCCTCTGGGAAGAATGAGATGCCTACAAACCAGCCGAGCAAGTTCCAGCAAATCTTGTAATGAGGCTGTCTGGTGACTCAGGATAGGAGTGAGGACTTCGAAAGCTCCCCCAAAAGCCAAGAGGAAAAGCCACAGGTGTCCCCTCATGGTCCTGCCTGTCAGAAGCCTGCAGTCTGGAACCCGGCACTGGAGCCAGTTACTTTGGACAACTGGTATGTCCTTCTCTGCTGGAACACATATATGTGGGGTCAGAAAGAGGAAGCGCCTGTTTCCGTCACAGGCTCATTTGCCTTATCTTTTCCTGAACATCAGATGAACCGTGAAGAAAAAAAATGCAAAAAAAAAACCCCCCAAAAAACCCAACAAAAACCACAGAGCTAAAGTGTGACGTAGAGTACGTTGACACAAGGAACAGCAGTGACAGGCAGGAAGGACCCGGCTGGGTGGGGAGCGCCCAGAGATGAACGGCAAGGGTCCCATGGGAGGTGGCTGGGGATGGAGTGACTTCCAGGTGACTGTCCACATCCCAAGGGGCAGGAGCTGCTCCTCTAGGCAGCCGGGGTGTGCCCCTGGTGGCCTCGTTACGAAGCCACTGTCCTCCAGCATCCCCGGCAATGCCCGCGGGCCTGGGTCCTGCTCCGACCCCCGTGGCCGCCCTGGGTGCCCAGCCGACCAGCACCCCACATCTACTCTGAGTGTGAAACCAGTCCTGTGATCTAAAACCTGGCTGGCTTTGCTGGCTTAAGAAAACAACTGAATAGGATCCTTTCTTTTCGAAGACTGTGCTGAATGGCAGTTGAGCGTTCCTCCTGGCTCCCGTCTCCACGCGCCCGTGACCACAGCGAGGCTTCTCCGCACCTGCTCAGCCGTGCTCCGACACATGCAATCACTAATAGTAGGGTCCCAGCTTTTCGTATCCTAAATAACTCGGCCACTCCGGAAACAGACCGTAGGAGCACCGAGGGCTCCCAAACTGGTCAAAGGATATTCCGAAATCGGGCCCGTTTGGTGGCTCGGCGGTGCCCTGAGTGGATTTTAGTTCGGCTTGGATGATTCTATAGTTTTTGCCTTTGTTGCTGTCCCAGTATGTCTGTCCACTGCACTCAAAGCACACAGCAAACTCCATCCTCTCATATGACTGAATTTTCTCAGGCAAGCTAATGTCAAAGGAGAACGTGTCCCTGTCCGAGCCGGCGTAAGTGTCCTTCACATAGCGACAGGGAAAGTCTGTGAAGCTTTTCCAGGTGTCGAATGTCATTCTTATTTTCACCATCTTCTCAAACGCCAGGTTCTGCACCTTCACTGTGCCTGCGATGGCTTTGTCCTTCAGGACACAGTTTTCAAGGCATACGTGGTCGGTCTGAAGCCGGTTTCTAAAGTCTAAGTAATCAGTGGAAGGCTGCGTGAAATCCAAAACAAAGCTCTCACTCTCTGCTGTCGTCAAGCTCACAATGTTGTCTAGGAGCTCGGTGATGTTCAGCGGAATATCTAACGGGTCATCGAATTCTGAGAACACTTTGACCATTGTCAGGGCCAGCCCTTGGTTGTCTGCGAAGGACACCCGCTTTTTCACCTTTTTCTCCTGGACGGTGGGGGCCACCATCCCGCTGGCTGCATTCTTGCTGCTCAGCTGGATGCACGGCCTCAGTGGTTCTCTTGGCTTCGGTGAGGTCTTGAAGGCAAACCTCTCTTGGCGCAGGGAAGGGGCCATGCAGCTGTATCTGCACGCTATGTCCACTGCCATCATGGGGTTAGACGAATAAGTTAGAACCCTGGCCGAAGGGGAAGAGAAAGAAACGGCAACCAGATCAGATGGACATTCAAGGCATCACGCCAACCAGGGCTGGCAAACAGTGTCTGCCTTCGTCTTGGCCCACACGGCGGCAGCTCGGCATTAACTCAAGTGTGCGCCAGTGTGACCTTGGTTTCAGGAGAGATTAAGCGTGTAAAGTGCGTGTGTGGGGGAAGAGGGTGAAGGTTAAAACAAACAAAAAAGTAGGGAGCCGCTGGTTTTAAAACTAAATTCACAGGTATTTCCATCAGGATTTCTTGGGGCCCTCAGTCTGCTAGAGAGCCTTGGGGAATAACAAAACCGTGTGGTCTGCAGGAGTTCCCAAACTGATCTGACCAAGGAATGCCTTTTTTTTTTTTTTAAAGATTTTATTTATTTATTTGACAGAGAGAGAGAGAGAGCACAAGTAGGCAGAGAGGGCAGGCAGAGGGGGAGGGAGAAGCAGGCTCTCCACTGAGCAGGGAGCCCAACGTGGGGCTCAATCCCAGGACTCTGGGATCATGACCTGAGCTGAAGGCAGCCGCTTAACCGACTGAGCCACCCAGGTGCCCCAAGAAATGCTTTTTTTATGGAGCATCTTGCAGAACACATGTTCTGAGACACATACTTTGGTAGATAATGCTCTAATATGATAAAAAGAAATGAATTCTTTTTTTTAAAGATTTTATTTATTTATTTGAGAGAGAGCTAAAGCGGGGAGAGGGACAGAGGGCAAGAGAGAAGAGAGAAGCAGACTCCCCACTGGGCAGGGAGGCCGATGCAGAGCTCTCCATCCCAGGACCCTGGGATCATGATCTGAGCCAAAGGCAGATGCTTAACTGACTGAGCCACCCAGGAGCCCCAAAAGAAATGAATTCATCCCATAAATATCGATTGGGTTTTACTATACGCCAGGTAGTATGCTAGACACTGGAATTCAAATGTGAAGACAGACACAAACCTGTACACTAGATTTTTATATGCCAGTGTATCTTTTAAAAAATGCCAATAATTTAGTTTTTTTTTAAACCTTTCATATAGGTGGATATTTGTTTTTTTCTATAGTGAAGATAACCTCTATAAGAATAAAAGGCAAAGAGAATTGTGCTCAAGATCAGGTTAAATCTGACTTCATAAAAACAGTATTTTTCTCTAAGTGAAAAAAAAGTAAAACCAAAAACTTAAAGACAAACTGGGAAAACATTTTACAAAAAGTATGGCAGCAAACAGTTAATACCTTCATATACAAAGAGTTCTTACAAAACAACAACAAAATCAAAGAGTCCACATAAAAAAATGAGCAAAGAGCATGAATGGAAAATTCATGAAAAAAACTTAAAAATGTCCTAGAAATATGCAAAATGTCCAACCTTATGATTAAAGAATTTAGATTAGGAAACAATGCCTGTTTTTACCTCCTGAGTTAGTAAAGACTTTTTAAAAATAATATGAATACATGGATTAGTCTAAATCAGCACAACCTTTCTAAATATTATCATTTTTAGTTCTAATATCACATACAGGTATTAATCTTAAGGAGTTAATGCATGCGGGTTAAAGTACTAAAATGTTCAATGCAACATTATAGGGAGGAAAAGGTGAGAAAACCTAAAGGACCAATAACAGGTATCTGGTTAAATTAGGTATACAACATCCAGTGACAAAATTTTGTGTCATTATTAAAACCAGAAAAAAAATTTTAATCATTATTAAAACCAAAAAAAAAATTTTGGATAAAATGTTTAAGTGGCATGGAAAAAATTTATGATATATTTTTAATGTAAAAAATAGAGAAGATAAAATTGTACATAGAGACTAGACTTGGGGGAAAATATTAGGCATATGTACAGAAAAAAGACTAGAGATATACTTGAAATTGTCAGAATATCCAGGTGATGTGATTTCAGGAAATTTGTTTTCCTGTGTTGTATTTTTAAAAATAACATCACTTCTATAATCAGGGAGAAAAAAATGAATCTAATAAAATGCCTCGAACATTTAAGATTGGCCAAAAACCTATCCCATCCGACATTATTGTTTATCATCTAATTACCATAGCAAATTTATATTCTGATTTGATAGTTACAATGGGCTACCCGAAGAAGTCAGTGATGAAACCAGGCTTAAAATCCGTAGTCTGAGAACTGCAGAACACAGGATCTGGACTAGGTCCCAAACCTCTCCCCCCTTACTATGGCAAAGGTGTAGGTATGTGGTGGTTTTTTGGGGTGCTTGCTCTCAGGCCTCCCCTAGTTCTGCCCACTGGTGGGGGGGCTTCAGGGTGATGGTGATAGTTAAGGAGAAGCAATAGGCAAAATGTTGCTCATCTTCTGACAGGAGCTGAGACCACTGGTTCAGTCCAATAAATACCTCGTTTTCAACTTCTGATTTTGATTCATCAAATATATAAGGAAAAATAAGAACAAAGACACATTGGGTTTGATCTCATTTTCCAAAAGAAATACAGCCACTCCCTAGGATGCAGGAACCACTTGGTGATGAATGATTAGAAAAACACACACATTCAGAGACACAAAACAATAATTTATTCGCACAACGTACTTATCTAAATATATATTTTAAAGGATATTTATCTTACTGTTTCCCCTCTCATAAAATCAACAAGTGAAAATTTTAGGAGCAAATTTGCTTTCTATTATCTGTTTTTGTACCCACGCAATTGTTCTGGAAAGGAAAAGTTCTCACTGAAACAGGCAAAATAGCTTTACAGAGGGTCAGTGGGTTGGCAAATGGGTTCAATGTGAAACAAAACAAAACAAAACAACCCTGTACTTACAAAGTACATGAATTTTACTTTTCCCCTGTCCACTGAAAACTTCTTTAGAATGCACCATAATGATACTTTCAGCTCTAATGTTAACACAGGTAGTTGTTTTTGTTTTTTTTTAAATCAAATGTGGATTAAAAATACCCCCAAAGTAGGCAAAGCCTTGCATCCCAGCCCCTCCCACTGTGACCACCCTTGACAACCTGGGCGTGAACTGAGGGAGGCTGGGTTCCTCCTCTGACCCTACAGCCCTTCCTCCTTGCCTGAGTCAGCACAAGGTCAACTGTAAGTTCTCTATCCTCTTGTCTACCCCTTCAAGCCTGCAAACCAGCCTCAATACGTGCTTTCCTGCACCTCATACGTGCTTCCCCACACAATGTTCAAACAGCTCATTAGAAAAAGGTTGGGAAACTCTCAAGATACTGTGGAAACAGAATTCTAAAACAAGTGGATCCGTGAAAGAATCTGCTCACTTGCAGTTGACTAAAGTCACTCTCAACTTTTAATCTTATGGATGAAAAAGACTTAGTTGAAGACCTTGGTAAAGTTTCACTGTTTGGACCCAGCGGGTGTACATTTGCCCCTGAGATTCCCCCCCCGCCTTTTTTTAAGATTTTATTTATTTATTTGAGAGAGAATGAGAGAGAGAGAGCATGAGAGGGGAAGGATCAGAGGGAGAAACAGACTCCCCACCAAGCAGGGAGCCTGATGTGGGACTCGATCCCGGGACTCCAGGATCATGACCTGAGCTAAAGGCAGTCACTTAACCAACTAAGCCACCCAGGAGCCCTCCCTGAGATCCCTTTTATACCAAACTGTTAAGAACTATTGGAACTGGGGGTCAGAAGGTGAGGTTCTGCTCAGAGCCAGCTCATTAAACAATTCCACCAGCACACCCCAGAGCCTCATTGGTTTTGCAACCTTCTTCCACGAAAGGCAAAAATAAAGTTAACTACCTGGTGGCCCGAGGGTTCCTAACAGGGCTATGGCCTCAGCATCCCTTCACTATTTAAGTGACACGATCACTGGAGGTGAGGACATTAACCTTTGTGGCCCCAAACAGGGTACGATCTGACTGTTGGCCACTTGCCTATCCTCACAGGTAGATTCCAGCTTTTATGAACCGGATCGTTCTTTGAGAATCAGTGTAGCAAATGCTGATTTGATGCAGGCCTTCCTGACCCTCTGCTCAGGAATTCCCCAGTGGGCTGTGACAGGGATGATCATCACCCAGAAGTACTCCTAGCAATGGAGATGGACAAGGTAAGTTTCCTAAGTATCTGAAAGGAAGGCAGCCGGGCAGGTGTTTTATCCACAAATGGCAAAAAAATGATCAGTGCCAACACTGTATGCACAGGTTATACCTCAGGCCTCCTCTCCTGACACGTTCTCCTGGCTGCTCAGCCCTTTCCCAGGCCGGGGAATATGAGTCACCAAGGTTGGCCAGGGAAAAAGCCAGAAGGAGAAGACAGAGACACACATTTGAACCAGCAGAGTATGACATAGGATTCGCTATCAGTTTGCTGCAGGGCAAGATCATAAGAGTATAAGTGGCTGTTAGTCAGATTCTCAAAAACTTGACTTCCAAATAGATGCCTAAGAGATCACTTTTGCTCCACGAGGGAATGGACCATGCCCAAGGGTGGATTTCAGTGTTCCTGGTCAAAAGAGGGCAAACCCCAACACTCCATGAAAACTGAAGCGAACAGGGATAGTTTTGCATAAATACTTTCCCTGTTCCACTAGTGACAAATAACACACCTTCTCAGGACAGCTCATCAGGTTATGGTGGTGTTTCTTGAGGAAACTATAGACCTGTATAGAAAATAACCACATGACATTCACAGCCTCAGGCAACTGAGCTACTGGCTTTTTGACTGTGCCTTTTATAGGAAGTAAATCTTTTTTCAGGATTGAGGCCAAGACACTTCCACTCCATTCTCATACTCTGATAGGAAATACAGAAAAATCAGATGCACCAAGAACCCACCAGGAACACTGAAACTGTACTAGGTAAGCATCCACAACCAGGTTACCAGGATGTACTTTTTAAAAAAGACATGTCCATCTACCCTTTGGCATTACTTTACTCCCTCCCAACAGGTTTGGCTGACACAGTATAAATAAAGTCGACATATTATCCTTTGTACTCCGATCACAGGGCCCTTATTCACAGCCTTCAAAGCCACTTGCGCTCTTCTATCCTGTTACCATCATCTAAAGCATCTTTGAGACACACACGCGCACGCACACACACACAATCACAGGAAGGAGGTTAAGTTAAAACGCTGCAGCACTGCGATCTAAAAATGCCCAACATGAAACACAGAGCACTAGCCTAGGAAGGCCTCCCCCTAGCTGTGCCACTTGAAGCAAGTCACTGAATCTTTCTGGGCTTAGGCTTCTTCTCCGAGGTCCCTTCTAGCTCTGACTCCTGGTTGCTAATAATGCCCACTGACTTCTCTTCTCTTCCCTCTCACTTTCCCCTAAATACCTCTACTTTGCTTTTGTGGTGAGTCCACGGGCTGTCTTCAACTTTAGTCTTGGCTGCTGGACAACCCTACCATATGAACCGTTTCCTCTTCTCCCCACCCCTGCTCAAAGCCCTAACTTCTCTTCTCCCGGACCCTGGGTCTCCCAGGGAGGCCTGGCCACACAGACCACAGGCTCCAACACCTTTCAGCAACTCTCCAAGTCTTCAAGTCCAGTCTGTCCTTGGTTTTCTCCTTGTCTGCAGTAAACAATACCCAGACGGGCCCCAACTCTTCTGGTATGCCGTTCCGGGCCCTATACCCGCTCCTTGGCTAGCAAGTCCCCTCCACATCCCTTTCTCTGGTTCAAAAGGGTGGCATGAACAGGGCAGGGGGCAGGAGTAAGGCCAGAGCTTCCAGACTTGGAAGATCCCACAGGCCAGTGCGACCCTGCCCCCCTCGGTCCAACCGGCCTGCACCCCGCCCCCAAGCACTCCGTGAGCCTCCTTCGCCTTGTCCCGCACCCACCTTTTGGGCCGTGGGGAAGCCCCCTCTCCAGCTGGCTCGCTGCATCGGAGAGCCTGGAGGGAGGTGTCAGGGGAGGCGGCCGCCACCGGACTACGTGAGCGTCGTGTGTCCGGGAGGCAGGGCTGGCGCTCCGTTCCCGGAGCTATGACCGGCAGGGGGAGGAGGACGACGAGGAGGAGGAGCCCAAGTTATCACACGGGGGCGGGGCGGCCGGGCAACCCCGGTCGGAGCCGCGCCGCGCGAGCGTCCCCGCGCGGCAGCTACGCCCCCTCCGGCCCGCGACAACCCCTGCCTGGGGACCGGGGACCGTGCACCGGGGCTGGCTCTGGGTCCCATCGCCCTCGGCGGCCTGAGAGACTCCCAAGTGTGCTTCCTCGCGTATTACGGGGAAGCCTTTTCCTTGTACTCCAGTCCCCACCGCCCAACTTCGGGGACACCCTCCGGAAGAGTCGGGCCCCAGCCTGGAAGCGCCTGTCTCAGGTTCGAACTCTGCACAGCAGTCCCAGCCCCAAGCCCCCCTCAACTACCCCTGGCGGCCAGACCCGCACTTCAGTGGAACACGTGGATCCGGCCAGGCTCCATCCCGCCTCTGGTCCCTGGATTACTCTTTCCACCTGAAAGCAATAGCCGCCTCGCCCCCGTCTAGAGTGTTCCATCCCCGGAGTGTAACTGCAAGTTGGACGGCGAAAGTGCAGGTGAAAGGAATCAAAGAAGGTCTCCACCGCGCGCGCGCCCCTCGCCGCCGTTTCTCGGCCCTGCACTGGGACTGGAGGGCTTGGGGACGGACGTACCTGGTACAGCTCATAAACCCCGACGTCCAGATGCGCCAGCCCGCGGCAGCATCCTCGCGGGGGTGGCACGAGCAGCGGCGGCGACGGCAGGAGCTGGGACCGGGACTCAGGTCCGCGCCCTCGGCGGGCAGACGCATCCGTCCGTGCGCGAGAGCAGCCCGCTCGCCTCCTCCCGGTGGCCGGTCACCCGGACTCAGGCTCCCGGCCGCCGCGCTGCTCCCTTTAACTTTCCGGCACCTCTCCCCACCTGGGAAGCCATCCCGGAACCCCTTCCACGTGAACGCCCCCCACGGCCAATGGGAGCGCTCGGGACGCGAGCCGTCGGCCAATGGCGGTGGAGCCGCCGTCCGAGATAGCACCGCTTCGCCACGTGATTGGCTGCGCGCCGGGAGTGCTAGGGCTGTAGCCCGGGGGGCTGGGCAGGGGGCAGTGGGGTCACTGTTTCAACAGGAGCCTGGGGACCGGCGCCAGGGGGCAGAGGCACCTTCCTACAGAAGAGCGTCGCGTTACAGCAAGAAGGCTGGCACGCGGGCCGCTTGCCAAATTCCTTCTTCCTAGGCAAAGTCCTGGCCGGGCAAAGCCTTCCTACAGGCGCAGTAGTAGTTGCGGTTGCATCCACGCCGTCCGGCCGCCCGCCTTCATGGTACGCTTTAGCCAGGGGCTTCACCGATGACGGGTAACTTCCCCATCACATGCCAATCCCAGAGAAGCCCCAAGAGAGTACCAGGTGTTGTTTGCCTCCGTGTTAGGTGGAGGCTCTCTGGGATGGGGATCTCCAGCTCTAAGGATCGTGTTGAAAACACGTAATTACTGACGCTGGCTTTGTGCTCGCCGGGAGTCCAGGTGTTCCTGTGAAAGGGATACAGTAACATCGTCTTATAAAGTTGTTCCTGGGGGGGGCGGGCCGCGCCTGGGTGGCTCAGTCGTTGGGCGTCTGCCTTCGGCTCAGGTCATGACCCCAGGGTCCTGGGATCGAGTCCCCCATGGGGCTCCCTGCTCAGCGGGGAGCCTGCTTCTCCCTCTCCCTCTGCCTGTTGCTTCCCCCTGCTTGTGCTCTCTCTCTCTCTCTCAAATCAATCAATAAACAAAACCTTAAAAAAAAAAAAAAGTTGTTCCTGGGGCCATCTCGCAGAGTGCCACGTATATAGGTATACAGGTAGGTATATTTCAGAGGCAATTACCTGACTTGAATCTGCTACAACTACCTGTACCTGCAGGGCCCCCATGATCTTTATGATACACCTTGAGGTCTGTAGAGAGTGATGCACCCAGAAGAGACCAGCCCCTCCCTCTCAGATGAGATCGGTTTAAATACATATTCACATAATCATGTATTAATCTTCTTGATGCTCAGCTCTGAGCTAGCCACTTTAGGGATGAGCATCCTAGTTTTCTAGTTTTAATGAATTTTGGAAATCGACAGAGGGTTGCCAGCTTATTAAAGTGCCAAGGCATTAAAATTACCATCTTCTGTTACCGACCTTTTATTTAAAAAATAAATACCCTTTAACAATAAAAGCAAACTAACAAACGTAATATCAGAGTAAAGACCATTCCTTCACATTGGATATATTTAGCTTTAGGACAATTCATTATGTTGAACATGGCATTTGAGAATTTCTGCTTTTAAGGGATATGAGAGCAAATTCTAATTTTACTAGAAATGTAAAACTAAAACACCGGTAGGTTGCCTTAATCCAATACAGGCCTTGAGCTCAAGACACTGTCTTCCTGTCTGAAGGGCAATTATTAGTCCTCTTCTTTCTTTTTTAATGGGCATGTCTGATAAAGGACCACCTCTGAAATCAGCTATTGGTAGGCGGTTGGCAAATACAATATTCCCTTTGCCAACTCTAAACCCCTTTTATTAGCTGATGAGTCTGTTGATTTTTGAAGCCAAGTGTGTTGACTATGTTTCTCAAGCATAGTGAGCATGCTAAAGGAGTGGGCAAAGATGAAGAGCCAACGGTATTGCAAAATGAATGCAGGCAAAGGGTGATCTGAACCAAACCGGGAAGGAGTTGGGACAAGTAAATACAACCTTATAGCATTAAGGTTTGGAAGGATCTTCCTTACATAGACGTAGGAAACCATGGGTAATCATTTCCCCTGTGGTTTAGATGACTATTCCAGAGCAGGAGAGTGGGGCTAAACTTAGCTGTGCCTCACCATAGTCTTGGTAGGTGGGAGTGTGGCGTCTGTGAGTTTGAAGAGACTACCGTCTCCTTAGCGATCAGAATAGACCTGGGATGCAAGCTCTGGAGGACCGTTCCAGCCGAACTCAGCAGGTCCAGGACCCCAGAACCTGAGAGCTGGACTGGCCTTAGTTCCGTAGGATCTTGCCTCACCCTCATTTTATAGTAGAAAAAAAAGTAAAAAAGGAAAGTGTCAACCTTTCAGTCAACACATACCAAGTCCCTTTTATAATATCTGGCATTGAATTTCAGCCTTAATTTCATTTAGTAAGCCAACCCTCCCCATAGAAATAAACCAAAAGCCTAGCAGTAGCTAAGCAAAGCTAATTGTCTTTTTCCCATAAACTTTCTTTTTGGTGGCTTTTAGTGGCTATTTGGTGGCTATCTTCCTTGCACTTGGGCTCATCTGTGACTTCTTCAATCCTCTCTTACACATTTGTTTACTCATTTAACAACACATTATTGAGTACTGTAAACGGGGGTCCTAGAAGTGGAAAATCAGTGAAATATAATCTTACTCTCGAGAAGCTCTTAGGTTAATAAATAATGATGTAGGATAAATGTGTATAAGGTAATTCTCTGTATTTTGGGAGCCAAGAGGAAGACTGCGCATGTGTGGCCATGGATGTGGGATGGGGAGTGAAGGTCAGCTGAGGCTTCTAGGGAAGTGAGCATTGAGCAGGATCCTGAAGGGGGAGTCAGAGTTTAGGGGTAATGGGAGAAAGCATGGTGGCAATTGGCAAAGGAGCAGGGTTCTATATGTCCCTCCAAAGAATTTCCACTCTACTGATTAAGAATTAAGTCTTCTTTCTGGCTTAAATATTAGACAATGTTTCTTTATGCATATGTTAACGTCAGCTTTTTGTTCATCCAGAAAGTTTGAAAAAAAATACTATTAATATCTTATCTCCTTCTCAACTAAACACATTTCTTTCTTTTTTTTTTTTTAAAGATTTTATTTATTTATTTGACAGAGAGAGACACAGTGAGAGGGGGAACACAAGCAGAGGGAGTGGGAGAGGGAGAAGCAGGCTTCCCGCAGAGCGGGGATCCCGATGCGGGGCTCGATCCCAGGACCCTGGGATCATGACCTGAGCCGAAGGCAGACGCTTAACGACTGAGCCACCCAGGCGCCCCACAACTGAACACATTTCAAAATAGCCTAAACCGGGTGCCTGGGTGGCTCAGTTGGTTGGGCGACTGCCTTCCGCTCAGGTCATGATCCTGGAGTTTTAGGATCAAGTCCCGCATCGGGCTCCCCTCTCAGCAGGGAGTCTGCTTCTCCCTCTGACCCTCCCTCCTCTCATGTGCTCTCTCTCTCTCTCTCATTCTCTCTCTCAAATAAATAAATAAAATCTTTAAAAAAAAAATAGCCTAAACCTAGGTCTTAACTTGATCCCAGGTTTTGGAAGAAATTTTATTTTTCTTCTTAGCGTTCTAACTTTCCTTCTCTTTGAATAAAAATTATTGCACAGTGCATCTAAATATAAATAACCAGCATCAAGAGTCTGAACTGAAGAAGAGAACATTCTTTTGCCTGATCAGAATAGAAAGTGGGAAAGACTGTTTCCAAACTGCCTAAGTGAAATTATATTTAGACAAGTGGAATTGTTTGCACCTGTCAGAGCTTCAGACATGTTCTGGGCGCATTATGTTACCTGGGGCCCTCTGCCCCTCTTTCAGATTTGACTGAAAATGACTTGCTAGGTCATGTTTTATGGGATAGGCAGATGAATACTAATAGAGGGATTCCATGAGCCTCTTGTCTATGGAGAATGTGTCCTTAGCTTGGGAGAAGACCTTGAATAGTTTACACATCAAAGCTCCTAGATTCCATTAAGGCATTTTTCTCACTTTTGAGGGCTTTTGAGTTCCCGAGTGAGGTTAATGTATCACTTTTTAATTTAATTTAATTATTTAGTTTTTATTCCAAATTTTTATTTAAATTCTAGTGAGTTAACATATAGTGTAATATTGATTTCAAGAGTAGAATTTGGTGATTCATCACTTACATATAACACCCAGTGCTCATCACTACAAGTGCCTTACTTAATCCCCATCACCCATTTAGCCCATCCCCCACCCACCGCCCCTCCAGCAACCCTC